CTCTGGTTTAAAAAAAATCCCCAATTTTCAGTTAAAAAAAAGATAATTTATATATTGGTGGTGTTTCGTTTAGAACATGGGAAAATGTGGATTTGGGTTTACTTTTTTAATCCAAAAATTGTTGTTTTTTTTAAATCAGAGAACCAGGATTCCTGTTTATCAGAAGTACCAAGGAAAGCAGAGAATAGGCATATTTCCCATCATGAACACTACTGAAGAGATACTCAATAATTTTACTGTATTGATCTACAAACTTTGTACACTTGATAACATGACAAACATGTATGACCTCTGAAATCATTAAAATACATAGATGTAAAGTTTGATAATCTGGTCTGATTCAGGTGTCATTGCTGGCGCATATGTAGATTTTGTTTTGCTGAATTAAACAGTTTTCATATAGTACCAGTTAAATTGCTGCAGATTTTATTTTCTATATAGTAATACAGCACTCCCTTTTCCTTTAATTGGCATTTAGCTGACACCTGTCTTGACTGAAAGGTGATCTATTAGAGTTTGGCCCATAATGATTGTTAAATCAATTATAGATGCATTCAGACATCAGTCATATCAGGATACAGATAAAGGCTGTGTGTGTGTGCACCTGAGAGATTTCAGCCTTCAATCATGAGTGTATGATTTGCCCTCCTGGCTGCTATTCTGTGTTCAAATAGAGCCATAACTGAAAATGCTTAGTAAAAATATTTTTGTAACAATTCTTTTTACAAAACACATTGTTGTCCTCTGTCCGTACTGACAATGAGAATCAGTAGGGATAAACTGCTGAATGTTTTGCAGTGCAGTCTCAAGAGGACAGGAGACCGAGCCTCCAGCTTGGGGAATTCTTTTCTTCTTGACCTATTTTAAACTATAATTAGAGGCACCTACTGGGACTAGAATCAAAATGTTTTTGTTTCCCTCTTAGTTTACATGGTGTATGGCTTTGCTATTTCTAGTCAAGATCCCAAGGAGAGGCACTCAGCCTGTATAACTCAACACTCTTGCCACTGATCTGGATCAGAGACAAGGGATACCCTCAAGTCCGAATAGTTGCAGGACAACTAGGACTTGTACTTGCCATTTAAATATATTTAAACTGTAAGACATTAAAAAAACTAACACCTATCTGCACCATAGGCATTTATACAAAACAAACTAACTTGGCATCTGAATTTCCCTATAGTACATGGAAGCCAAAAATTGAAAAGGTGGTTTACTACCTT